CATGAAAGGACCAAAACCACTGTTATTTTCTCCCGACTTGGAGACAAAACCCACGGGCTGCGCAGCAGACCCTCTTTTTTCATTCCTCCGCTTGAGGATTACACAATCCCTCGCGACATGCCCCACCAGGTGGCAATAATAACAGCGAGGTTTCTGAGGACGAGGAGGAGAAGGAGAGTTTCTAAAAGGTGTTACTGACACCGGGCGAGCAGATTCACCCTGATGAACACCACCAACACGGTGCGTCAACACAAACTCATCCGCCAGTAGGGCGGCTGAGGAGAGAGAAGAGACTTGTCTTTCATTTAAATATAATGCCAACCTCTCTGGCAAACACTTCTTAAATTCCTCCAGGAGAATTAGCTCTTTAAGATCCTGTAGAGTTTCAACCTTTGAGGCAAGGATCCATCTCTCAAACATCAGAGCTTTTTCTCTAGAGAACTCAACATAAGTTTGCGTGGAGAGTTTTACATGCTGTGACCGGAACTTCTGACGATAGGCTTCAGGAACCAACTCATAAGCAACAAGAACAGCAGCTTTTACTTTATTATAATCCATGCTGTCAGATAAAGAAAGAGAAGCAATTACCTCTTGAGCCTTTCCGGTTAACTTACACTGCAGCATAGTGGACCACACCTCTTGGGGCCAGTCTAAAGCAGCGGCCAGACGCTCGAATGTAGCGAAGTAGCTGTCAACCTCGCTCTCCCGGAAAGTCGGCACCAGAACAAGGCACTTGCTGATGTCACACTCGTTTCTCTGTTTGTCCATGGACCTCTCGTGCTCATAGTTTGTAGTAGAAGAAACACCTCCTCTTGCTTGGTATTCCAACTCCATACGTTTCAGTTTTAACTTTGTTTCAGCCTCGATCTCACAGCGGCGGATCTCCAGTTCGATTTGCTGTAATCGGGACTTTTCCTCAGCCTCATACTTCATGCGGGCCAGCCTGAGACGAAGACGTGCATTCTCCATACTAGCAGCAGAGGAAGCGGTGGATAAACTCTCTCCTGTGAACGGCGTCTGCCGCGAAAGAGCGTCCTGTTCATCTGGGACAGAAAGGCGCTCGGGTGCAGCACCCACAGGAACGGAAGTAGCAGCTTTCACAGTCTGTCCATCCTCCATGTCCTGTTTCAGGGGCAAATCAGAAGAGTCACTGAGAGGAGGTTGTAACAAACCTTCCTTTTCCAACGCGGCCATCACAGAATCCTTTAAGTCCTTTTTCAGCAGGTTCTGGATGCCTTGGAGACCGAGGTGTACAGCCAACTCTGCCAGTTCGGTCCTTTTGAAGCTTTCGACCTGGTCCCGAGAAGGGGCAGCCAGAAACTCCTTTAAATTAAACATGCTCACGTTAGCACAACAACACGGGTACTCAAATCACACCACCAATCACGTTAACGTAACAAATAAATTAATAACAAAATAATATCCCGGACGAGCTCCCAATATGTTACGACCTCAGCCTGGTCTAGGTTCAGGGAGGCCTAACACAGGAACGTGAGAAAAGAAAAGAACCAATCTGACACCAAGTCACAATCAAAAGAAAGTCCTTTTATTAACTAAAGGTGTCCCTAAGGGAGAAAAAAACCTGTTTAATGAAAATAGGAGTTTAATTTAGGCTGCAGGAACAAATGCTGAGGGCTTAAAGTAACTAAAGGAGCAAATAACAATGGGAACGGAAACTCACTGGTTCTGAAAATAAACCAGGAACAACGGAGCTTGCCCGGAGGCCTTACCAAAAGGTCCACTGGTGAACCAACTCACCCACGCAACAGTCAACTCTGTTAGGAGCAAAGAAAACCGGAGCTCAACCGGTTTTCTTATGCGGGTGGAAATTAAACCAGCCAGGGGCAACCGTCCACAAGTTCTCCAACACAAACAATCTTTCACTCCAATCCTCTCTCCAGTCCTCTCTCTGTCAGCCTCAATCCTCTCTTTCTCTCGCCTCTCCTCTCCCTCGTCGTCCTCTCTGAGCAGCGCTGATCTTTATCTGCTCCAGCTGGGTGATTCCTGATGAGAGTCAGCTGCATAGAGTGAAGCCAGGGAGCTGGGCGCTCTCCAAGGTCCTGAAAATGGTGCAGGAATAAGGGTGCGGAGTAGAAGCTGAGTGCTGGAGAACTCAGGGTCCGTAACATGTAGGGACTAAGAAGATCACCAATGTAAGATGGTTCTTGTCCATGTAAGGCCCTATAGACCAGAACCAGGATCTTGAAATGAACCCTGAAGTTGACTGGTAGCCAGTGAAGCTGGAGGAGAAGCGGGGTGATGGCCCCCTCCATGGAAAGATGCGTCTAATCTTAGCAATATTCCGAAGGTGGAAAAAGAAAATCCTACAAACCTGTTTAACGGGATTTGAAAGACATATCCTGGTCAAAGATAACACCAAGTTTCCTTACTTTATTCTCAGAGATTAATTTAATGCTGTTTAGGTCAGGTGATTGACTAAGCCATTTCCTTTTCTGAATTTCAGGTCCAAAGATGAAAACTTCAGTCTTGTCTTGATTTAATAGCAGAAAGTTTTGAGTCATCCAATTTTTTTTGTCTTCAAGACAAACCTGTAATCTAACTAACCAATTAGGTTCATCAGGAAAATATAATTGAGTATCGTCAGCATAACAGTGGAATTTTATCACATGCTGTCTAATGATTTTACCAATTGGAAGCATATATACAGTAAAAAAGAATTTGTCCAAGCATTCAACCCTGTGGTACTCCACAAGTACCCCTGTAGTATGAAGATTTGTCATGTACATTAACAAAATGAAATCTGTCAGACAGGTAGGATTTAAACCAGCCTGGCGCTGTTCCTTTGATCCCTACAACATGTTCAAGCCTTTCTAAAAGAACATTGTGATCAACTGTGTCAAAGGCAGCACTGAGATCTAACAAGACTAGAACAGACACAAGATTCTTATATGAGGCCATGAGAATATCATTTGTAACTTTCACTAATGTAGTTTCAGTGCTGTGATACTCTCTAAAACCAGACTGAAATTCCTCAAACTGATCATTAGTGTTTAACTGCTCACATACTTGGATGGCCACTATTTTCTCAAGGACTTTGGATAGAAATGGAAGGTTAGATATTGTTCTATAATTCATTGGGTCATCTGGATCCAGAGAAGGCTTCTTAAGTAAAGGTTTGATTACAGCAACCTTAAAATCCTGTGGTACATATTCATTCACTAAGGATAGACTGATTATTTCTCACCTGCTGGTTGAATTCAGGTGTGTTGAAGAAGGGTTAAAACTAAAACCTGCTGGATATTGCCCCTCCAAGACCAGGATTGGGCACCCCTGAACTAAAGCATAAATTTGTGAAGGGCTAGAAATGAAAATATTGCCCTCTTCTACATTCCTCTGAGATGCTGAGGACAGTAAAGATAGAACAGCTGATTTAAAAGATGCAACAGCGTTGTCGAATAGAGACAGACTAGTGAAATTTACTTTCATGTCTCAAGAACTCAGTTATATAAAACTTAAAGGTTATCAAAATGTGGTCCAAGAGGACTGGATTATGTGGAAATATCGTTATTTCCTCATAATCTATGCCATAAGTCAGCACAAGGTCTAATGTATGATGTCAGGAGTGGGTGGAGCTATGTTTTCTTTGGGTAAATAATTGTAAACAATTGAGTCTAAGATATTACTAAAGGCTACATTGAGGCTATCATTTTCAATGTCCACATGCATATTAAAATCCCCCACTACAATGACCTTATCAATATTTAGCAACAAATCAGATAACAAATCAGAGATCTGATCCAAAAACTCAAGAGTATGGACCTTGTGGACGATACAAAACTACAAATAAATATCAGACCAGACAACTTTTTTCCAGTCTTCAACTGTCCAGTTTTGGTGAGCTGGTGCAAATTGTAGCCTCTTTTTCCTGTTTGTAGTGGAGATGAGTGGTACCCGGTGGGGTCTTCTGCCTCAAGGTTGTGCGTGTTGTGGCTTCACAAATGCTTTGCTGCATTCCTCGGTTGTAAGGAGTGGTTATTTCAGTCAAAGTTGCTCTTCTATCTGCTTGAATCAGTCGGCCCATTCTCCTCTGACCTCTAGCATCAACAAGACATTTGGCCCACAGGACTGCTGCATACTGGATGTTTTTCCCTTTTCACATCATTCTTTGTAAACCCTAGAAATGGTTGTGGGTGAAAATCCCAGTAACTGAGCAGATTGTGAAATACTCAGACTGGCCCAACAACCATGCCACGCCCAAAATAGCTTAAATCACCTTTCTTTCCCATTCTGACCTTCAGTCTGTAGTTCAGGAGATGGTCTTGACCAGGACCACACCCCTAAATGCATTGATGCAACTGCTATGTAATTGGTTGATTAGATATTTGCATTAAGTTGAACAGGTGTTCTTAGTAATCCTTTAGGTGAGAGTAAGGCCTAGTCCACACGTAGCCGGTTAACAAAAAAACGAATATCCGCCCCTCCAAATACTTGTATCCACACCACCTCGTTTAAAAAAAAACTGTCCACAAGTACCCGGATAAATACGTTGTTAAGGACATGCCGGACCTGTAGGCGGGAGTACTTGCCCCGTTCTTAACCTCGTCCTTCGTCTGTGGTCTTCCGCAAGGAGCAGTAATTCCGCTTGCAAAAACAAACAAGCAAAAAGCACTTGGACAATTGATAAAGCGAGTGCAGCTCTGAGGGCATCCATGCTGTCGGCTAGTGTAAACACAGGTCGCACACGTGATGTCAGTATTTTTTGGTTGCGGAAAGTGACGTTGTGGACCTTAAAACTCCGGTTTTGTCTGTCCACACGCAGGCACCCAAAACGGAGAAAACGCAGATCTTCACATTGGCCGGAGTTTTTAAAAAGATCCGTTTTCGTGTGAAAAAACTCCGTTTTCCTGTGGATGACAGGCCAAAACGTAGAAAAATATCTACGTTTTGGCAGATCCCCGGCTACGTGTGGACAGGGCCTAAGTGTGAATGTGAAGTTCCATCGATCTGTAATTCACATCATGTTACTGTGTTTCCTACAGATTTTCAACAGCTGGTGCTGGTTAAAGAAGAAGCTCCTGAGGAACAGAGTGCAGGTGTGGACCAGAAAGACCCAGAACACATCCACATAAAGGAAGAACAAGAAGAAAAGTGGACCAGCCTGGAGGGAGAGCAGCTCCAGTTGGAGGAGAAAACTGATGCTGCCAGGTTTCCATTCACATTGGCTTCTATAAAGAGTGAGGATGATGAAGAGAAACCTCTGTTCTCACAGCTTCATCAGCAGCAAGTAGAAGTCAAAGAAATTCCAAACAGCAGCTCAGCTCACCAGATGACAGCAGAAACTGGTGGAAGAGCAGAAACTAGCAGGAACCAAGATCTGAACCCTCATGAACAGACATCTGATTCTTCAGAAACTGAAATGAGTGGAGATGATGAAGAGGGTGATGATGTGAATCTAGACTCTGAGCTGTCAGACTCTGGGTCTGAAACTGGAGAAGAAGACAGTGACTGGAATGAAAGCAGGTCTTCTGATTCACATGTTAGGACTGTCAACAAGTCCTTTAGTTGCCCTGAGTGTGGTAAACAATTTGTCCACAAGAGTTCTCTCCAGAAACATGTCAGAGTGTCAGGTCATTCAGCAATAAGGTCTTCAAGCTGTTTGGTCAAAAAGAAATGTGTTGGAGTGAAGCAACATGTAGACTCATGCAAGAGAGTCCAGAAAGAACTAAAATCATTTAGTTGTGATGACTGTGGAGAAAGATTTAGTGCAATGTGTGATTTAAATGTTCACATGAGAGTCCACACAGGAGAAAAATCTTTTGCCTGCGAGACCTGTGGTCGAAGATTTAGTCGAAAGCGAAATTTAAACAGTCACGTAAGAGTCCACACAGGAGAACAACCTTTTGCCTGTAAGCTCTGTGATAAAAGATTTGGCTATAAGACAGCTTTAAACAGGCACATGAGGGTCCACACAGGAGAAAAACCTTTCGCCTGTGAGACCTGTGGTAAAAGATTTCGTGAAAAGGCAACTTTAAACTATCACGTGAGAGTCCACACAGGAGAAAAACCTTTTGCCTGTGAGCTCTGTGATCAAAGATTTGGTCACCAAAAAAGTTTAAACAAGCACATGAGAGTCCACACAGGAGAAAAACCTTTTGCGTGTGAGCTCTGTGGTCGAAGATTTAGCCAAAAGGGAAATTTAAACATTCACACGAGAGTCCACACAGGAGAAAAACCTTTTGCCTGTGAGACCTGTGGTCAAAGATTTCGTGAAAAGGCAACTTTAAACAAGCACATGAGAGTCCACACAGGAGATAAACCTTTTGCCTGTGAGCTCTGTGAAAAAAGATTTAGCAGTAAGACACATTTAAACAGTCATATGAGAGTCCACACAGGAGAAAAACCTTTTGCCTGTGAGCTCTGTAGTAAAAAATTTGCCCACAAGTTAAGTTTAAACAGTCACATAAGAGTACATACAGGACAGAAGCCTTTTGCTTGTGAGCTCTGTGGTCGAAGTTTTAGCCAAAAGGGAGCTTTAAACAGTCACATGAGAGTCCACACAGGAGAAAAACCTTTTGCCTGTGATCACTGTGATCAAAAATTTGGTCACCAAAAAAGTTTAAACAATCACATGAGAGTCCACACAGGAGAAAAACCTTTTGCCTGTGAGCTCTGTGGTCGAATATTTAGCGAGAAATATAGTTTAAACAGGCACATGAGATTCCACAGAGGAGATAAACCTTTTGCCTGTGAGCTCTGTGGTCGAAGATTTTGCGAGAAAAAAAAATTAGGCATTCACATGAGAGTCCACACAGGAGAAAAACCTTTTGCCTGTGAGATCTGTGGTCGAAGATTTGCCTATAAACAAGCCTTAGATGGTCACATGAAAGTCCACACAGGAGAAAAACCTTTTTCCTGTGAGCTCTGTGGTCAAACATTTAAACATAAGGCAACTTTAAACTATCACGTGAGAGCCCACACAGGAGAAAAACCTTTTGCCTGTGGGCTCTGTGGTCAAAGATTTGGCTATAAGACAACTTTAAACTATCACATGAGAGACCACACAGGAGAAAAACCTTTTGCCTGTGGGCTCTGTGGTCAAAGATTTGGCTATAAGACAGCTTTAAACTATCACATGAGAGTCCACACAAGAGGAAAAACCTTTTTTCCTGTGAGACCTGTGGTCAAAGATTGAAGCCTGGTTTATGCTTCTCCGTCAGCTCCGCAAGGGACAGACACGCACGGATTGATGGAAGCGTTTTGCTCTCATACTTCTCCGTCTCCTGTAGAGTGTTGCAAAGCAATTGCCCGGCAGGACAACAGGGGGCGTATCGCTGTTCTCTGGTATCCTGTCATGTATCGGTCCAAGATCGTGTTTATATTGTGTTTTTTGTGTATATAAGAGACTTTTAACACGGACATATTTTACTCTCATTCTCCCACCGCTTCATGCGCTCCCCACCTCTAAACCCACGTTTCCTGTGATTTCCGTCCACAAATAAAACGCTTGCTGCGCATCTTTTCACTCCTCCAGTCACGGGAGGATGAAACGATCATATTTTTAGTTTTTTCGCGAGGTATTCTTCAAGTTTCTCAGTGTCTGCCGCTAGTTAAACTCGGCTCTCTTTGCAATGGCGGCGCTGTAAACAACAGTGGCGTCCTGACCAATCACAAGCTTGCGTAATCCGTCTCGTTCGACGGATGTTTAAAAAAGTGGGCTCGACTCCGTACGTACTTGCGTGCCTGCCTGAGCCCTACGCAAGGACGGATAATGGCGTTGCGTGTGTCCGCACTGACGCAGACGGAGAAGCATAAATCAGGCTGTAGGGGCAAGACAGAGTTAAACTGTCACATTAGAGTTCACACACGACATAATGAATTCTTTTGAAAGTGTGATTGACGGAAAAACATCCGATCTGTGAGAGCAGGGGAGTGGAAGATATAATATATATATATGTATATATAAGACAGATATATATCTGTGTGTGTGTACACATGTATATACATACATATACATATATATATATATATATATATATATATTTATGCGTGTGTGTGTATGTGTATATATACACACACACACACACACACATATATATATATACACACACACACATAGTAGAAAAGAAAAGATATACCAATAAAAAAGAAGTCTTTGTCCAAAGGGAGTAAGAAGAAGCAAGTGCTTATTCAATCCTACCTCCTTGTCTCACATTACTAATTTACTTTATTACCATCTATACATGCATACATACATACATACATACATACATACATACATACATACACACATACATACATACATACACACATTCCTCCCCTAGGCGTTTTAAAATTTTTAGTCCTTCGTAAATGATATCCCTCATCACTCTGGTTGAAGAGCTTTTGAATATTAGGTGGCAATAAGTGCTTACTAGCTTTAAACATGATTTGAGCTGTTTGATAATGAACCAGGTCTTGAAGTTAAAAGTATTTTGACTGTAAAATCAAGGAATTTGTATGATCCAGATACCCAACTTTATGAATGACACATATTACCCTCTTTTGCAATACTGATAGTGGGTGTAGTGCATTTTTATAGTTGTTTCCCCAAAGCTCAGTAACTACAGTAAAAGTACTACAGTAAAAGTACTACAGTAAAAGTACTACAGTAAGTGAAATATGGCAGAGCTAATGAACAATACAGAATATGGAGTGATTTACAGTCCAATTTATAATTGCAATGCTTTTTGCTGCTTTGGTTTGCATGTGTCTAATGTAGGGCTTCCAACTAAGTTTATTATCCGGTATCACACCCAAAAATTTGATTTCATTAACATTCTCATTTTTTCCATCATCAATCTTTATACATACTTCTGTTTTGTTTTTACAATTGCCACATGTCATTACCTTAGTTTTTTCTATATTCAATGATAATTAATTATTATTCATCCATTTTTTTTAGTTTACTTAATTCTTTTTTAGTAATATTAATTATTTCATTGAGGTCATTTCCAGCATAGAACAAATTTGTATCATCAGCAATTAAGATCATCTTCAGACTTTTGCAGACTTGAAAAATGTCATTTATACAGGTGCTGGCCAGTAAATTAGAATATCATCAAAAGGTTGAAAATATTTCAGTAATTCCATTCAAAACGTGAAACTTGTACATTATATTCATGCAATGCACACAGACCAATGTATTTCCAATGTTCATTACATTTAAATTTGATATTCATAAGTGACAACTAATGAAAACTCCAAATTTGGTATCTCAAAAAATTAGAATATTCTGAAAAGGCTGAATATAGAAGACACCTGCTGCCACTCTAATCAGCTGATTTACTCAAAACACCTGCAAAGGCCTTTAAAAGGTCCCTCAGTCTTGTTTTGAAGGCACCACAATCATGGGGAAGACTTCTGACTTAACAGCTGTCCAAAAGACAATCATTGACACCTTGCACAAGGAGGGCAAGACACAAAAGGTGATTGCTAAAGAAGCTGGCTGTTCGCAGAGCTCTGTGTCCAAGCACATTAACAGACAGGCGAAGGGACGGAAAAAATGTGGTAGAAAAAAGTGTACAAGCTCTAGGGATAACCGCACCCTGCAGAGAATTGTGACGACAAACCCATTCAAAAATGTGGGGGAGATCCACAAAGAGTGGACTGCAGCTGGAGTCAGCGCTTCAAGAACCACCACGAGGAGACTCATGAAAGACATGGGATTCAGGTGTCGCATTCCGTGTGTCAAGCCACTCTTGAACAAGAAACAGCGCAAGAAGCGTCTCGCCTGGGCCAAGGACAAAAAGGACTGGACTGATGCTGAGTGGTCCAAAGTTATGTTTTCTGATGAAAGCAAGTTCTGCATTTCCTTTGGAAATCAAGGACCCAGAGTCTGGAGGAAGAGCGGAGAAGCACAGAATCCACGTTGCATGAGGTCCAGTGTAAAGTTTCCACCGTCAGTGATGGTGTGGGGTGCCATGTCATCTGCCGGTGTTGGCCCACTCTGTTTCCTGAGGTCCAGGGTCAATGCAGCCGTCTACCAGGAAGTTTTAGAGCACTTCATGCTTCCTGCTGCTGACCAACTTTATGGGGATGCAGACTTCACCTTTCAACAGGACTTGGCACCTGCACACAGTGCCAAAACCACCAGCACCTGGTTCAAGGACCATGGTATCCCTGTCCTTGATTGGCCAGCAAACTCGCCTGACCTTAACCCCATAGAAAATCTATGGGGTATTGTGAAGCGGAGGATGCAATACGCTAGACCCAACAATGCAGAGGAGCTGAAGACGACTATCAGAGCAACCTGGGCTCTCATAACACCTGAGCAGTGCCACAGACTGATCGAGTCCATGCCACGCCGCATTACTGCAGTTATTGAGGCAAAAGGAGCCCCGACTAAGTATTGAGTGCTATACATGCACATTCTTTTCATGTTCATTCTTTTCAGTTGGCCAACATTAGAGAAACAAACATTTTTTCATTGGCCTTTAGAATATTCTAATTTTCTGAGATACCAGATTTGATGTTTTCATTGGTTGTCACCTATAAATATCAAAATTAAACGTAATAAACATCGGAAATACATTGGTCTGTGTGCATTGCATGAATATAATGTACAAGTTTCACGTTTTGAATGGAATTACTGAAATATTTTCAACCTTTTGATGATATTCTAATTTACTGGCCAGCACCTGTATATATATTAAATAGAGCAGGTCCTAATACTGACCCCTGGGGGACACCACAGGCAATCCCCATACTTTCAGAAGTGACAGCATCCATTTTCACAAATTGTTGTCTCTCAGATAAATAATTGGTGATCCAGTCCAGTGCCATTCCCCTAATGCCATACTGTTGAAGGTTGTTTATGAGAACTGAGTGATTTATTGTATCAAAAGCTTTCCTAAAATCTATAAATACTCCAATAGCATATTTACCTTTATCTAATGTATTAATTATTTCATCGGTTGCTTCCATTATTGAAAAAGCTGTTGTCCTCTTTTCTCGGAATCCGTACTGACTATGGTTTAGTATTTGGTGTTCATTTAAAAAGTTTTCTAGTCTGCTATTAAATAGTTTTTCCAGGATTTTTGAAAATTGAGAAGAAGTGATACTGGACTGTAGTTGTTAAATAGATGTTTATTCCCTTGCTTAAAAATTGGTATTTAGCTACTTTCATTTTCTGAGGAAATAAACCAGTTTGGAAGGATAAGTTAAATAGATAAGATAATGGTTTTAGAATACCATCAATAACTCTTTTAACCAGCACCATATCAATACCGTCACAATCAGTGGAGACTTTGTGGTTACATTTATCAACAACTGATTTAACTTCCAACTCATCCACTGCTGAGAGGAAGCTTGAGTCGGAGTAGTTGGTTTTTATCAATGGTTCACTTATTGTCTGTCTTTTTTGGCTTGGTATATTTGCTGCTAGCTCTGGGCCTACATTCACAAAATATTCATTCATTCTATTAACTACTTTTACTTCATCATAAATATCACTTTGATTATCAGTAAAGTATTCAGGGTATAGTATTTTCTTTGTCCCACCATTCCTTAATTTGTGAAGTATATCCCAGACACCTTTTAAGTTATTCTTATTTTCATTAAGGATTTTTCTGTAATATGTCTTTTTACTAGTTCTTATTATTTCAGTGAATTTATTTTTGTAAACTTTATCTGGTTTCAGCTTCCTTAGTTCGTAGTTTAATAAAATTCGTATAAAGACTATTTTTCTTTTTACAAGCAGTTTGTAATCCTTTAGTTAGCCATGGGAGATTTTTGTACTTATGACTTCTATTAATGACGTTGACTGGACAATTCTTATTGTAAAGTGTCTTAAATATGTCAATAAATTTACTATATACCATGTCAACATCATCTTCCCGATAGACTTCATCCCAGTCTTGTGACATCAGTTCCTCTTTGAATGCAGCAATTAAATCGTCTGTTCGTAATCTCTTATAGGTCTCTTTCCCTGATTTCCTTTGACACCTACTTTCTTTAATTCCATTGCTGATGTCAAAGTATACAAATATAGGTAAGTGGTCACTAATATAATTTAAACTAAATCATATCTATCTAATCTATATCTCATTTAAACTAAATCATATCTATCTAATCTATATCTCATTTAAACTAAATCATATCTATCTAATCTATATCTCATTTAAACTAAATCATATCTATCTAATCGCACTAAATTTGTCCAACTGTGCACCTTCTGCTCTAACCCCAAGCCAGTTACCTCTGGAGTTCCTCAGGGCTGTCTTAGGTCCCCTTCTCTTCATAATCTACTTACTCCCACTTGGCAATATCTTCAGGAAATTTAATATTCATTTTCACTGCTACGCCGATGACACCCAGCTATACTTCTCTACCCAACCAAACCCCCGCTCCCTTCATTCTCCTCCGTTGCCTCACTGAAGTCAAATCCTGGTTTTCTTCTAACTTTCTACAGCTCAACAGCAATAAGACTGAGATCCTCCTCATTGGCACCAAGTCATCTCTATCTAAGACCAGTTCATTCTCACTCAGCTTCGACAACACCACACTTCTCCCCACTGCCAAAGCTAAGAGCTTGGGTGTCATCTTAGACAACACCTTATCCTTCATTCCTCATATTAACAACACAATAAAAACTGCTTATTTTCATCTTTTCAATATCAATTGGCTCCGCCCCTCCCTCAGTCAGCACGCCACTGCGATTTTGGTCCACAGCCTGGTCAACAGTCGCATCGATTACTGTAATGCCCTCCTCTCCGGTCTCCCTCTAAAATCACTCAACAAGCTACAGTTAGTCCAAAATTCAGCTGCCCGGATAATCACTAAGACCTCCACTTTTGATCACATCACCCCTGTCCTGCAACAACTTCACTGGCTCCCTGTCAAATACAGAATTGACTATAAAATACTTCATGCCTTTAAAGCCATCCATAATCTCGCTCCCCCTTATCTTTT